GAAACATCAGCCATAAATAACCATGGAGATCTGTGAATATTATCACATCCCCTTTTGTCTCAACTTTTTATTTTATTTCTGTCTTGCTCTGGTTTTCAACTTCTTTTTCCCTGACTTGTACTTGAATTCCTTGTTTCTGCTTTTCATTAATTTTACGTCTCTATTCTTTCATTTCCAACAGTGTAAGACACTCTTCATGCTCCACCCTTTCCATGTACATCTTGTTTTTCTAGTGCAGCTTCTGTTCTCTCCAACCTACTCTAATTATTATCAGTGTGGAGAGAGATATGTTGCTTTCTCTTCTTGCCTTTCTTTTTTTCTCTGACTTAAAAAGACCTAAGGATTTTTCTTTCTCTTATCTTCTTGCTACATTGGTTTTATGAATTCTGCCCTTTCTCTTTGGCTTCCACCATTCTTGCTTCCACCTCTGCCCCCTTTCAACTCAGCCTTGTTCTGATATTTTCCTATAACTCCAAATAAGACTTTCAAAACTTGATATATAACAATAGGACTTCCTTTGTGCTTTCCTGTTTTCTTAACTGATGTTTTATGGGCTTCTAAATTCTGTCTGCAGTGGCCACACTTGCATTAACTTCCCCAATTAGTATATTTTTTCCATTTATGCAAATGGAGCTTCTGAAATAACCCCTCAATGTGACTAATCATATTTTGATACCTGATCAGAAAAGGATCAAACCTCCTTCAAGCCACTAAACTGTTTTGAAGGAGCATTTCTCCTAGTTGGGAGGGGAGGAGAGATTATAGTCTTCCTTTGTTTATAAGTTCCTGAATTTGTGCTTGCATCCGCAAGGTCATTGCACAGGAAGGTCTGCAAACCATTTATCAGCTTGTCGTACTAGCCAAGAACTAGAATATAGATACAGTTGTCTATATGGCTGAAGTGGACAGGAGACTTAAAGGGCTTAGATCTTTATTCACATTTAAGCGTGAGTTTATTTTGCATGTGTAAAATATCAAGAAAGGCTGTTACAGCTCTGCAATTGCAGCTGTTTGCAGTGCTCCTTTCCCTTAGCAGAAGGGTGGTTTTGTTTTGGGAGCTCCCCTGAAATTGCTACCAGCGAAATTCAGCTGAATATGTTAAGCTTGGAGTGCTCCAAATGAAGCCGTGAAAGGCCTCAGCTATAACTTAAATGTTGTCTGCTATTTTAAGAGAGCAATATTCTTTTGCAAGTGTGAGATGACTGCAGTTTGTCTTCATGCTGTGTCTGCAGCAAGCATCAGCACGCACAAAGGCTTATGAAATTATGGGGGTTTTAGCTGAAAACGTCGCCATTAGAAAGCTGCTAAGCTTTGCTACAAGAACCTGACTTAATTCCCAGTTCGCTTCCAGTGTTGTCCTACCAGTTCCGAAGAGTTCGGTGCCTCTCATGGGTGGTCTGGGACCAGCCTCGCTCCAAATAGGATTCAGATTTGGGTCTGTGGGGGCAGAAGCCGAATCACAGCAGCGGCAGCTCCCGCTCTGCACCGGGCTCCTCGGGATGCCCACCAGGACTGGTCTCGCCCTCCCTTCTCCTCCAGGATGGACCAAGCAGCTGCTGTTTCTGTTTACAAGTTCAGGAGGGAAAAAAAACAGCTCTTTAGCAATTACATTTTACTGGGCAGCTGCTGCCTGTGTGCTCCAAAGGAAAGGCAGTAGCTGGGTGGGAGGTGTCCGAGGTCTCTGTTTTGAGCAGTTGTCTGTATTTGGAGCTTGAGAGATTTTTAGCCAGCCATTAACAAAAATGTATACAATTATTTGCTAGTGATGAGACTAATCATTTCTTAGAAGCAACTTTCTGTAAATATTCTTTGAGAATTGCCAGGTATGGGTAGACTAGTGAGCTGGCAAAGCAGTTGTGTTAGCTCTACAGAAGGCTGTTCTGGATGATACTATTTTTCTCTGATCTGTTTTTAGTGTCTCTGCAGCTGTTAAGTCCTCCTCTCCTCTCCCACTGTAATACTATACAGAATTAGTGATCAATTGCTACTTCCTCTTCCTACAGAGGCTTGCATAGCTATCCTAATTAAGCACTCACGTAGTAAAATTGCAGCTAGAAAGCTGTCAAGGTTGGGATGATGGCACTTGAACGACTTGTAACGTTTACAGATGTTCATATTTATCTTGGGCCTGCTGTCTGTCCCGTCTGTGGTGCAGCGTGCAGCTGGTTGGCATTCCAGCTCGCCGCTTTTCTCGGGACACTGTGTTCTTGGCCACAGAAAGTGTTGCTTTTCATAAGGTTACATAGCAGGGCCACATTCTAGCATCTTGCTGTATTCACTTTTTTTTTTTTTTTTTTTTTTGTTCACGGCCCACCTGATTTCTTATTACTTCACCTGCAGATCTTTACATCTCCCATCACAGAGGCCCAATGAGCGACTGATTGCTTTGCAGATTTAAAAGCATTTTTTTTTTTTTTTTTTTTTTTGTTACTTATGCCTTAGAATTGCAAAGTTTTGAGGTGCTTAAAATAAATGAGTCAAAGTTTCCTTCTGCCCCAAATTCTTCTCAAGCAGAGAGTTCTTCCTCTAAGTATTTGGGGTGATGCCCCTGACAAAAGCAAAGCTATGAACCAAGTCCCAGTTTGCAGTGAGCTCAAGGATGTTAAACAGGCACTGGTTTTCTTTCCTGCAGTTCTGGCTTCTCGCAGGTCAGAAGCAGCAGTAGCGCTTTGGCTGTTCCCGGCTGAGTCATTTGGCATGCGAGTCGCTCTGCAGTAATGCCAGAGGTTCCCTTTGTGCTAGGCCTTGGATAAAGCACAGGACAGACTCTCAGCTTCCTCACCTTCCCTGGGAAGAGGTAGAGACCAGAGCTTTTGCTTTGGATCAAGCTGGACTAGGATCGTAAGATCAGATTTGCTTTGCAGATACCCAGCACAAATCATGTTAATACTGGCGTAATTCCACAGTGCAAATTAATACCTAGTGGGGAAGCATCACAGAATGCTCCAGGGAAAACCATCCCTCCTCTCTCTTTCCTACCAGAACTAGGCATGAAAAACAGAAATGAAGCGTAGAGAAAAGACCAAGCAATGTAAATTACATGTTTCTGATCACTCTTGTGTCTGAGTGTTGGGATTAAGGGAGTACATCTGCATCTACAAGCAGAAGTCTTCAGCTGTAGGGAAGATAGCTGCTGTCCTGTAACTGCTGCAGGTCTGGACAAAGACATTGCTTAGCATCTCTTTCTAATAGGAAGTATGGGAATCCAAGCAATGTTCCTTGATAATAAAGCACGTGGTGGATAATCACTGTTGCTGAGCTTTGCTGCTCACTGAATATCTTAGGTAGCTTGCATGGTACTGGAGACGTCTCTGGAGACCTGGTCTGCAGTGGACTTTGTGTGAATCTGTGGTGTACTGCCGATTTAATAAGCAGTATCCATAAATTATGCTGATTTCTGGTTACTATTTAAAGCTTTTGAGTTGCTGTTACATGTTTTTAAAATACCCAGGCGGAAACACTGACCGTTCTTTTCCTGCTTACATCCATGTTACTGGGACGCAGCAGGAATTCTTGACTATGCCTTTAGACTTACAATTTTAATGAAATGTTAAGATTTAACGGGGAGGCCAATTTAGGGACTGCAAGTTATTTTCAAGGAATTGTGTAAATGCGAATTTATGAGAGTATCAGTTCTTATTTTTGAGTATTTCTATCAGCTTTGTCCCAAATGTTAGAAAACTCTGAAACTGAGGCTAGTGACTATAAATGTGACTCCTTGGCTTTGCTCATGCAAAGCTGTAGTACAGACCCCTCTTGGAAAATTATGTGGCTTTTGGGGCCTTTCATGTGACTTAGCAACTGAGCTAAGGTTTCAGAAATGCTCTTTTGAGTCTTCCTACACCATTTTCAGGGTAGAGTAACTTCTTAAAAATAGAATTTTGATTAAGACTTTCATTTCCTTGCATGGAAATAGGACCTCACATTCTGTCTGAGCTGTTGCATTAAATCTCTATAACTTAAATTCACTTAAATTCTGTAACTTCAATCTACTCTAAATCCACAGTCTCCATGCTGAAGTCGCACACGTTTTACAGTTCCTCTTTCAGAGAATGTGAATTGGAGCAAACAGATGGAGCAACGAGATGAGCAGATTTTCAAGGATTTTGAAAATAGACCTTGAAAGGGCTTTAGTGTAGGAAGTAAATAGATCTAGATGGGCAAGAATGGCACACATTAGATGTGTGATTAGTTTTTTTTTTTTTTACTTTTTTTTTCTGCCTTTTTCCCTATAAATTTTACTTTGATCTTTGAATAAGATGAGAATTCTCCTGAGTTAGATACTCCAGTGTGTGTAAGAGGCTTCATTTTTTAACATGTAGGTGCTCTCTGCCCTGAAGGTGATTTCACTCTTTTGCCACAAGAGTTGAGCGATTCTCTTGGTGTCTCGGTGCCTCCTGTCCCAAAGGAAAAATTCTAGGCAACCTGGAGGAAAGACACTTAAATAAAATAACAAGAGAGATACGTGTTCAAAGTGGAGTTGAGAAACTCCATGGTATCCTATTGAACATATCTTTGTTCAGATGATAAAATCAGCACTCAAACTTCTGCTAAACTTGCTTTTGTCTGAATTGATCTAGGTAGAAGCAACTTACACTCGGCTCTGGACTGTGACTGCCCTAGCAACATCAGTGTACTCCTTTTCTAAAGCTTTCCTTCCATGAGCTGTCTGTTTAAATACTCTCAATTTCAAATATAGAGCACTTTTTAAAGCTAGTTCAAAGTCCCCACAGTAGTTGTAATCAAGAAGCACTGTTTAACTGTCACTGGAGATGTGTTGCTATGTGTGGAGCTACCAAGTGTTTGAATGTTAACGCCCTAATTTGAAAATCAACGTTTGAAAGACAAGCTATGAGTGCCAAGAAGTGCATTTCTTACGCCACGCATGGCTGAGATTAGCTTCTTCAAGTTGTCAAATGGTTTTATATTTGGAAAATGTTGTGAGCAGTTTGGCATGTAAATGTTGAGTGGAAATTAAATATGTTTTTCTTTCCTCATAGGAACTGGAGACATTGTTGCTGTCATGATTACAGAATCAAAGGTTAAGGAGATCCTGAATTATTTGGAAAAGAATATCTCTGTCTTGATGGCAATAGCAGTGGGATCCCGTGTTCCTCCAAAAAACTTCAGCCGAGGCTCTCTAGTCTTTGTGTCAATATCATTCATCGTTTTGATGATAATTTCTTCAGCGTGGTTAATATTTTACTTCATCCAGAAGATCAGGTACACAAGTGCACGTGACAGGAATCAGGTAAGGGAACTCCCTTGCTTATCTAAACTACAGAAATGATTTCCTATGTACAGTAGTTCATGGAGAGCAAATAATCTCTTAGGACTATCCATCAAGCCAGTATTCAAAAATAGCTTTGTCCAGCAGCATACTTTGCCTCTGAACAGGGATTTTGTGTAGCAAATTCTTGCTTTCTTGAGTAGCACCAATGCAAGTTCTTACTAAATGCAACAGGAAAGAGTAGAATTGAAGCAGAATATTTTAAAATAGGTTAATAACTGTGGGTCAAAGGGGAAGAGGGAATGTTTGTTGGCTGTTACGTGCTGTATAGCGTGTTGCTTAGGGCATTGGGAATGAGTAGGAGAGTTAAACTGTGAATGAACGTGTGTAGTGGAACGCAGAGCTAATGTTTTGGGTCTTTTTTTTTTTTTTTGTGGAGGGGAAACGTTAACTGCAGTGAAACGGATTAGTTAATTCCCCTTAAGTCCTTATTCCTTATAAATTCTATCCATGCTATAAAGGATAGCTTTAGCAATAGGTAGAGTAATACACATATTGTACTGAGGCCTTATCAGACTACACTATCCTGAAGGTTACATTAAGAAAACTAAGGAATAGTGTTTGGTGGTTTCTCAGTAACATGCACCTGTTTAAGATGATGCAAGATTTGGACTGTATAATTCTACTGCTCCTGTAACTTAAGCAATTATCATGTCTGAAATGCCCTTCTTATATTCTTTGTCACCTCCAATTTAAGAATTTGTGTGTTTGAGCTAAAGAAGGTCATCCTCAGATGTCCAGAATAAAACAAGTCTTCAAATACAGAATGAACTCTGGAAGTAATTATTTCATGTTGTGTTAGTGTGGCCATAGTGAGTCATTGCCTCCATACCGTGCCTTGTCTTTTCTTGGGAAGGAGCAGTAGATCCTGGGAAATCTGTGTTCTCCTTGCCTCTGCATCTCTGCAACCTGTAGTCACTGATTCTCTTCCTCTGAGTTAAGATATGAAATGGAGGGTCCCACTGCAAGGCACAGCTTGGGATATCTTCTATTCAAGACTACTTGTAATTATTGAAAGCTTTTAAATATTCCACTAAATATTACTTGGTCAAGCCTAAACCAAATGCCAACTTAGAAAGCCTCAGCTGTGACAGAGGATTTCCTTCCTAGTTTCTGGAAATAATGTCTGACGCTCCAGATCCCATGGGCATTTTGTCGACTTTCCTAAGAATATCATTCTCAAATGACCACATTGTAACTGGTGCTTAGTGAGGTCCCCTGGGATGGTGAAAGTTTAAATATAACTGTTACTCCATGGATGTCGGTGGAATTCTAAATTGTTCCTGCTGCCTCCCCTGCGTGGTTCTAGGCTTCTTCAGAAGGCCTGTGCTTCAAAACAGCTGCTCCATGGGGAAAGGGCTTTAATGACCTTTTTTCTTGCTGTAGATTTTTGCAAAGGTCAGGAGAAACTTGATAAAAATTTTATGTGGTTTAAAAAGCTGGGCTTATTAAAGTTTAATAAGAAGGTGGCGACAGCTACAGCTCTTTCTTGAAGAGCTTTCACAGAGAAAACGCTGCACTGTTAGTGATAACCCGTTTTAAGCTGCACTGTTTTTCAGTTATGTGTACGGGCATGTTTCCTTTTATTTTTTTTCTCCCCTTCAGAAAATATCAAAAACATGCTGTGTTTTGTAGATGGTGCGAGTAGATACTGGTTTTCACATGGTTGCTCTTGTGCACTTCCTCCAGAGCAGTTATAAAGCTGCTTTGCCTGTCGTGGTGGCCTTTTCCATCAAGACACTTGTGCGTTATAAAAGCAGGTTTCCTGTATCCTGGTCCCCTAACCATCAAAAGAGCAAATCCCCATCATTTCCAGTGTTAGCTAACAAGTATTTGTTAAAGTTTGAAGATTTTGCAGTGGCAAGAGTGCACTGCTTAAAGTCAGTAGCAAAAATGCTTTTCATTGATGTGGGATGTGACTAGCATCAGCGATACATACTGATAACGGGCTAGACCCCTTCCTCACAAGATACCAATTTTACGAGTTTTCAAGCAAATAAATTCCTGTGAAGACTAACCTGAAAACCTAGTGTGCTTCCCATGCAGCTCTAAAAGGGAGACAATGAAAGTTATTTAGTGTATTAATTTACATAAGAGAATGTATACGTTTTTGGAAGTTTTTTTTAATGAATTAGTAATGCTTTCAATAGGAAGATAGTATCTTAGGTAAGATTTCTTTTTTTGCACTGCAGATGCAAACTTATGCAGTATAGATAAATATAAATACAACCCATAGTTATTTAGGTGTTAATGTCAACCATTTAAGTTAAATGCCTCACCATATCTTTCCAGTTTTGCTCCTTTTGGTTGTGCAAGGATAATCTGTTGCAGTGAAACAGCAGTGTGACAACATTTTCTGCGGCATTAAGTACATAAACCCATAGGTCCATTGCAGGACACGTGATGTAGACTTGCTTAGATTGAGCAGTGTTTGCATGTAGAAACAATGGGATGGGATTTCTGATGTCAAGAGGTATATAATGCCTTCGTCCCCAGCTGTTCCTAGTGCTCTGCTTCCTGCTTTAGTAATTGGATCCTAGTATTTTTTTATTCATATCCCAACAAATGAAAGAGCCATTCTTCTATGGAAAACATCAAAAAATACTGTGCTTCTGTACAGATTATGGTTATGGCGGTATGGTTAATGGTCTTAACACAATATATACATTTGTGGTGGCCTTCTGAGATCTTGTCTGTTTTTCACATCAGAGCAGCCCTGTTGGTTTCACCTTGTATTCAGAGAAAGTGTGACACAAAGGAGAGAAAAGTAACTTAAGCTTGAAAATTAACTCCTTCCTATAGAGGATGTGGGCACAGAAAATGTGCATCATGCTCAGTGCTGGATGGGAGTTTCATTTTGCAGTTCACATACACAGAGCACAGGATGAGAACCCTGCCTTATTTTCAAAGGTGAAATGTTTAGTGCAAGATTGCGATGAGGGAGGAAATAAATGAACTTCCTTATTCCAGCTGGGGTAAACCCCATCTTGCTTCTCTGGTTACTAAAACAAGGAAATAGGAGCTTTGTTAGCTAGGTGCCCTGGCCCTGGGGCCCAGTGAATCAGCTGCCATTCTTAACTGGCTGCCAAGTGGGACATTGCAGCAAGAATTGGTACTTCAAGCACAGAGGTAGCACCTTCCCTCAATCCACCAGAGCTGGTAATTAAAAAAATAAAATACCTTTTGCAATCAGAATAAGGTATGTTAATCTTCAAACCAGTATTAATTTCAGCTTTAGTCCAGTCTTGGCTGAGTTACTTAGATTTCATAACCCATAAGCGTTTTCTTTGTGAAATACTGGTGGTTTGAGGTTATAGTGAGGATGAAATTGGGTAGCTCTGAGTATCTCTTACGTCTCAGAGTAAGGTCAGCCTACTTAGGAAGGAAAAACAAATTTTAAGCTTAAGAGAACAGGAATATATTAGTGTTTTGCACAAAAAAGCAAACTGAACAGAATAGAAATGAAAGGGGAGAAATGTTTCATTTTTCCCCTGCTGTTAGTTTTGTTGCACAGGGTTTGGGCCATTTCTGTAGACTGTTTTATGCAGTCCACGGGGTTTATGCCCACACACATTGAGTGCATTTGTGGGCTCTGCAGCTGGATTTTTCCTTCCTGACAAATCCAGCTGTGACTCTGCTGTGTGCCCTTTGGGTTTTATGTGGGACTACTGTCAGAGTGTATGGCATTGTAAGTATCTAGCCTGAATAAGTCATTGTAAGGTATAGAAATACAGTCTGATTATCAGGGTTTAATTTATACTCTTTTCTTTACCCCTCTATTAGCGTCGTCTTGGAGATGCTGCCAAGAAAGCCATTGGTAAATTGACAACCAGGACAGTAAAGAAAGGTGATAAGGTACAATAATATTTCAACGTAATAGTCTTGAACCTCATGTTTAACTTTTGTCAGCGGAGACAATTTTATGCTTGTTTTTTTTTTTTTTCCATTCCTCTTCAATTTTTGATCTTAGATTTCTTGTTGGGAGATCATCTTGTGGTGCAGTATTTAATGGGTCTTGTGGTATTTATGTATGCTGTAAGTCTGTGCCTTTCAAAGAAGTTTTCCTTGCTTAAGGACTTGTTGCACTGTAGCTGGCAACTGCAATTGAGAGTGGGTTTGAGTGCTCTCTGAGTAGGGTTTTTTGCTGGTGTTTGTGAAACTCTGAGCTTAGAATCATTTTCAGCTCTGCCTGTGAAAAATGATATTGCTGAAAGTGAGAAGTGGTCAAAACACAGGACTAGTCTTGGCTACAAAAGGAAATCCCAGCATAAAAACTTAACCGAGCTTGTATAAAATATATATTTTTGCTCCAAACTGAAGTAAATCCTCAAGGAAGATTGCTACTGTATTTTCTGGTGAATCAGCTGACTATTCATTCTTCCAGTTGGTTACCAGCTCAAAATGAGGGGAATGACCTTTTAGGTATGAGAGTAAAGGACAATTTGGAAGTAAATGGGATGTTTCCAAGTTATGTTGGAACATAACCCAGTCATTGTTTAGCCCCTTCCTAGTAATAGCCACGTTGTTGCAATGCAATTCACATTCTAATCGAAACTGCATTTACCTTAATTGTAGCCTAACCTCTTGACTTGAATTTCTGTTCTCTTCGTTTTAGGAAACCGACCCAGACTTTGATCATTGTGCTGTCTGCATTGAGAGTTACAAGCAGAACGATGTTGTCCGTATTTTACCATGCAAGTAAGCTAGTAAAGTTGCTTTGTATAGAAACAATTTTCTTTCTGCTTCTCTGCTTCATTTTGTGCAAAATCTGCATTGCAATTTACAGACATGTTTGTTAGATGCTTCCAGCCCTAATATTAGTCATTTATCTTGCACTGTCTATAATACCAGAAGGTGTGAAGGTGGTTGCTGGCACAGTTATGGACAGCAAAGGGTTTTTTTTTCTTCATTTAAAAAAGAGAATCTTCAAAAACTGGCCTTTTTGGCATATGAACAGTGGGAAGCTATTACGATTGTAATGAGGGGAGATTTAAAGACTGAATAGTGGCCAGACACAATAAACATAATTGTAATGAATTAGATAATAGCTACAACCTTCTGCACAGTGGATCTGCAGCGTCTTGTTAGACTGTTTCAGAAACCCACAGCCAAAGAAATGTGATGCTGCCAGCCCTCACACCTCCTCTGACATCAACCACTGGGTCCTCAATGTTTGGTTTCTCCAGTGCCCTGTGTTCTTGGCCTATGCCTGCATATCCTGCATTGGTGCTTAAAATGTAACAGCTTTTTCCTTGCTCTGCACCATTCTCTTGACACAGGCTTTTGCTTTGTTTCCATTTCACTTCATCCTAGAGTTTTCTGTGATGCTGAGTTTTTTTGGATGCTCCTTTGAGTGGTTTTCTACCTGATGATTTTTGGGGGGAAGTGAGTAATTCTTAGCAGTTATATGCATTACCCAGCACTTCTCATCCTTTTATTCTGAAGTGCAAAACTTTCTTACATCCATATACAAACAAGTTCTGTTGCGCACATGTGTGTGTGTATATACACATAGCCAAGATCCAGTAACTTGGCCGGTGTTTAGTATATAAAGAGTTTGTGTGTGATACTCTAGAGGCACCTAAGTCACAGTGTTGGAGTCGAAATATGATGCATCAGGTAAGTATTCTACTATTGAAGCTAGGCAGTTGATTCCAATTACTTTTCTATATTTTCTTTACACCTTGGGCAGTGGGAAGCAATGAACTGTTTTAGATGCTCAGTCTTGTGCTTGATTAATATAACCTGCAAATGTTTGCTTAGAAGTATTTGAAAAAGAGCTATAAAGATTTATAAGACTTTGACCAAACAGATATAGGTCCATTTTTTTTAACAGTTGAGTTGTTTTTACTCATTCAAAGATGACGTTATCTTGCCCCATAAAAATATTACTCCAAAGACAAAATACATTTCAGTGTTATGTTGTATTATTAGGTAAAGCTACTGTGTGAATTCAAGCTCTACTCTTTGGTTTATTAATATTATCTGGAAATTGAGAAACTTCTGGAACAGTAATTTTGAACCATGAAGCTGACTGATCAAAAGCTTCAGTTCTGTAATTCAGGGTGACACTAAATTTCAGTGCATGAAATGGATGTTCAGAAATCCTCTTCCTCTGTGCCTTTCTGAATCCCTCTCAATCTTTTCATTCCACCTCAGTCACCCTATTATTTATTATACTGGTTTATTGCAAGGTGAGGTAGGGTTCAAAAACCAGCTGTAGCAAAGCCCTAGCTGGGTGATGACCATCTGGATACTGGTTAGCAATCCCTGGAAGGATTGCTCTCTGCAGAAGTCCTAAGCAGATACTGCTGCAGGTGAGAAAGCTGTGTGCAAGAGAACCCCTGACCCCCCAAAAAACTCTGTTTTTGAATACTTTGTGCAGTACTGTTTAACATGTTGTGAGCCACAGTCCTGCAGCTTGGGGGACAGGTACAGCCGCCTCATGGAGCTGGATGAAGGTTCACCTGACTGCTAGCTCAACACAGCATCCTCCAGTTCAGCCTCGCCACATATGGAAAAAACAAAGCACTTATGTAGATGCTTTCTGTTCTACTTTTTACAAAAATATAAGGTCATCAAAGGCTCAGATTACATTCTTGCCAAAGGTTGTTTGAAGACTGTTGTGTTCACGTTCTACTTCTCCTTTTGAAATCCCACTCTTTGTTGCAGTTCAGTTTTGTGTTGAGAGCAGAAACGTTTTGGTTAGACAGGAACTGTGAGACAGGTAGTTTCCACAGGACCTCATACTTGTAGCATGGGCCACTGGGCCAGGCAGTCCCTGCAGAGATGAACCCAGTAAATTTTAGATTGCCTGTAAAACTGTTCAGTCTGCTGAGAGGCATCTCTTCTAATCTTGTTTTGGAGATTTGCTCCCTTTCTGCTTCCTGACTTTCCAACCTTCCATTCAAGTGCAACATGCAAAACTAGTGACAATGACATCTGCAAGACAGCCTCGAAGACAGATTTGAGAAAATCGATTGCAAGAAACTATGGGGAAAATGGCTTGACCAAGAGGAGGCAAATGAAAGGCTAGGAGTGTGTCTAACTGGGATTTTGGAAGAAGTTATCATTAGACAGAAGGAATCGCTGACAGACAGGATCCCTGCTGATTTCTTCAATGTGAAAGTAGCATTTCCCTCTGCTGGCTCCCAGAATTGTTAGGCCCGGTTGATAGTCTGGCACTGTGTGCTTTTGTAGAGAGGAGTCTGGCTCGCACAGGCATACGGGGCCATCCGGATAATTTGCACCTAAATTCTGTATCCAGATATCATATTTGTGATGGGGAATGTTTTACCAAGTGGAAAATTGAGACAAATTTAAAAAAAGACAAGCAGTGCAGTTAAGCCTGTATCCTTCATATTGTACCACAGATGTAGAAGTATGTTCAGTACTACAACCTCCGGGCAACATCTACGTGTTGCTTTTAGTACACAGGAGGCATAAGTCCTCTCTATTCCCAGCCCACCTCCGTGCAGGCAGAAGGGGTCATTTTCATACGTAAGAGCCTGAGAAACACTTTTTTACGTGTGAATGTCATAGAATAAGTGTTTAAAAATAAGAAGCATAAGCAAATGTCAGAAGGATGCTAACAAAAGACAAGGCTCATGGATAATTTTATTCATTCAGAGGGAGTTTTTTCTTTTTCTCCATTTACTTCATCTCCCTGCAGTGGAGATGAATGGGCACCGTGTGAAAAGTGATCAGGGAAGATGGTGTGTAGGAAAGATGATAACCGAGAGAAAAGGGAGGGGGAGAGCCAAGTGACAGGAGAAAAGCGTGGGGAATGACATTGGAAGGGCAGCAGGCTGGCCTGGGAAGGAGGAAATCCATGAGGCAGAAAGAATTAAAGGAGTAGCAGACATTTGAGAAAGGAAAGGAAGAATCAATTGGGCAGTGAAGACGGATGTAAAAGGGCATTGTGCAGGGCTAAACTATGTTATATATGTTCCGAGCCAAATGTTTATATTCTCTAGCAGTGGGCAAAAGGGGGCAAATTCTCTAGCAGTGGGCAAATAGTGAAAGTGACTGAAGCCACCTTTTTACCAGCTTTAAACAGCAGCTTGTTTTATATTTTTCAAAAAAGAGCTGATTAACCCTCGGTTTCAGAGCTGGCACCTGCCCTCTCTGCAGTGCCTCTGCACCCCGTGGTGGACGGCAGCAGCTCCCTGTCCCGGCGGTAGTTTTGGCAGGAGGAAGGGAAGCTGCTGTGCCCTGGCATTCGTGCCCGGAGGCAGAGGGCACCTTCCTCGCGGCCGGCCGGGCGTTGCTGCTCGGATTTGCTGGCCACAAAGGACCATAAGTGCCCACGTGTCCCCCCAGCCATGAGGGCTGTCCCTGCAGCCTCAAGGATGCTGCTCCGCAAGGCAACACGATGCTCAGGTCTCCTTAGACTGCTGCCCTGGGAAAGAGCAGATAAGGTAGCGAGTTCTAGAGAAACAGCGCTTGTAAACGCGTCTGAACCCTTCCCCTTCTGCTCTGTGCTGTTTGGAGCTGTTGCACCACCACAGGGCTGAGCTGAGCTCCCTCTCCGTCGAGCGCTGCAGAGAAGTTGTCCCGCGCGGCGCTCGCGGTTGCGGTGTTGGCTACGGGCTGCAGGCCCTAGCCCTGAGCATGCTGACAGAGTGGAAAAACACGTGCAGGTCACCTGCCTGGCACTGTGCCCATGCTGGGGGCTCCTGCGGGGCCACCGGGCTCTCTGCTGGCCTTGGTTCCTCCTGCCCTCGGAGGCCAGAGCCACAAAAGCTGCATCCCGCTGGCCTCCCTGGTGCCTCCTTCCCCAGGGAGCGTAGTTGACTGCTGAGCCCTAAAGCAACTCCCCGGGCGCTCATCAGATTTACAGTTTTAGAAAGCTTATTATTGAACAAATGACAGAAATATGACAGTGGAGAACGTTTACAACAGCATAAAATGCAAGGGCTTGCTTTGGCAGCCTGAGTTTTAAAAGTAATTCGTGTGTTTATCACCGTCATTGCTTTAAACTGCTGCTTTACTCTTGGAAACAGAAATCCAGACAGAGCCTGAGCCCTGCTGATGGTATCAGCAAGCGTTTTAAGGAGCAGATAAACAGCATAAATAGTACAGAGCCATGCTGATTTAAATCAATGCATAACCTTTGGGGGACTGTACTTTTTAAAGCACATCACCAAACATCCATGGAGGTTTAGGAATTGAAAGCAAAGAACGATGAGGTCAAAAAAATAGTTGAGCTGTTCTGGTGCATTTGGACTGTATAAAACTGCTAACGACTCTTTAAGATAATCCATAATATTTAGCTGATACATGTAGGAATCCGTATCAATAGGCTGCTTCACTTGACTCGAGTGCTTTTATAGTGCTGAGCACTGATGAGCTGATAAGGATGTATTAAAGCTGTTCTCATGCTTCTTTGGAGTCTTCATGTCTGCTGTTTCACAAAATATTAGATTTTCAGGTTTGACCTACTCTAAACAGATCTCAGAATCTTAAAAGGAAATGTAAGCAACTGAAAGCCATAATTTGCCTAATAGAACAATAGCATTGTTATTACCGATCAGTAGATTTCAAACATTTTTTATCACCAGAGGACTTTTAAATGTTGTTTTCTGTAGCTTTGTGAGCAATGAGTGCGATAAGAATCAACAGTAGAAATAGGTCTGCATTTTGTACACTTATTTCAGCAGTAAGCAGTGTACATATCTTATTTTTCATCACTTGTTACCCTGTTGCTAAAGCATACTGTCCAGCAAAGTGACTAAATGAGATATTTAAATTTGCTTAACAAAGCGGTCTGGTGCTCAGCTTTGCACTGTGTAGTACAGAGAGCTTTGCTTTCTGTACTACATAGCAGGCCAACCATGAACGTGGAAGTAACACTGTTTTCTTCTGAAAAGTGGCAGTAGAAACACATTAAATCCTGTTATGCTGCTCTGTGATTACAGCTTCAGCTTCTTGGCCAATAACACATACAGTTTTCCAAGTTTCCATTCCTGCAAATTCTGTGTGGAATACAGATAAGGAAAGTTCCTTCCCTCCCTGTACATGTTCTGTTGCCTGCACTGTGCTCTTTCAGACTTGGTAGCCATAGACAAAAAATAACTGTATTATTTCATTGCATGTTTATTCACAATTTTAGGAGCTTCGTAGGTGACTTTCTGGAGATCTAAAAGCAAATTATCTAGTAACATGCCTTGTTCAGTCTCTGCTCTTAAAGTCATGTGTGAGAGAGAGGAAGGAGGTCCCAGACTCTGTGATGAGTTTATTGAGGCAGAGCAGCACATGTAACCTGGGACAGGAGGGGAGATAGAGCTCTAGAGATTTGTGCTGTCTAAGGGATGTGCATAACCTCTTGCAGACTGTGCTGCTGATGCCTCAGGTAGGTTAAAAACACCTTGTTCTGCCACAGCCCTTTCGCCTGTTCATATTAGAGCAAAGCTGCTTGCAGGCTAAGCAGCCCTTCGGCTTGTTGGTCTTTGTCATGATCCCTGTTTGTGGTATGCAGGTAAAGCTGCTCTTGACTTTTGTCTCCCAAGAGGTTCTATAACCATTGCTGCTGGAAGTGCAAGATCTATATTCCTCCCATAGGCAGTCAGTCAGATTTGGTTATTTTGCCAATTCTCTAACACATAGAAAGTCTAGTGAGAACTTTCTGCCCTGAAAATAAATGCTTTAAATTGGTTCTTTGCCTGAAAAGGCAGGAGAACAAATCTGTTCCTTTAGTTTAGATATGTTGTTATAGTCGCTGCATACTCTTTTCTTGTTATTTTGATTTGTATCAATTCAACACTGTTAGATTTGTATTCACGTGACTAAAAGGTTTTGTAAGCCATGTAGGTGGCAATTCAAGCTGTTCACCAGCACAGAGTTCCCCACTGAGAAAGTAGAAGCCTATTTTGCTTTTTCATCTCTGAAAGGGTTTTGCTTTTCTGCAACCATCATATGATGATAGACATGTTTTCTTTCCAGATATTAAGAAATACTGTACAAAAAGCCTTTTAAAATACTGTTTCTTCTTTTCATTCAGACGTGCTTATTTTAAAGGCCCTTGCAAAATCAAACACAGGATTATCCAATTTACCTTTAAAATTTGTAAATAGGCTGATTTTCAATAGAATTAATTTCTGATGAATCTGTGGGATACCTACCTGATTTATGATCAGCTTCTTAGCAGTAATTGAGGCAAGGCTTTACATGAGGTTATGATGGGGAATTTACATTGCCCTTTTTATGCTGTCCATGTGCCTACTCATATCCACAAAAAAAGGCAAAAAAAAAAAATCCCAATGTGGATTATTAGTAACTTTGTCTTTATTGCAGGCAGCATGAAACACTGACAATTCTCAAATTCATTCACCTAGTTAAAAAAGCAACCATTTACAAGCTTGTTGAAATAGTTCTTATGTGATTTGCCACTCTGCATTATTTAATATGTGTCACGGCTGTTCTTCTAGGCACGTTTTCCACAAAGCTTGTGTGGATCCATGGCTTAGTGAGCACTGTACGTGTCCCATGTGTAAACTGAACATCTTGAAGGCCCTGGGAATTGTGGTGAGTTACGCTGTAATGAAGAAAGAATGCTTACTTGGTTGCTTTTTCTTTCTAAATCTCTTGTTGTGGTCTCCTCTAGATGTTCTCAGATCTGTTTATACAGTAAATGCTGTGTCCAAAGCTGCACAAAGTGCATTAGTTGCATTTTCCTTGTGTAGAGCAGCTCATGGCTTAGGGGTCGTCTTGGCGCTGGTTTTGTTGATGGGTTCACAAGGGGATAGATGGGCCTCAAAGATGATTTTACTGTTTTTCCCATGTGAGAAGCTCTGAGCATGGGCATGATGCTGCTCTTGAAAGAAGGAAATAAGGGAGAAAAAGGAGGGCATGTGAAGATATTTATTCGTGGCAACTGGAGAGTTTTGCCCTGACTAAAGCACCTTTTGAATCGAGCACAGTGAGAGAATTAATATTCAGGTCTCTATTTCTGGCTGTGTCAATTGAAAAATTGCACAGTTTCATATTGTGGCTAAGCTATTTTTGCAGTTAAAACCATACCATGAAATTTTAGAGAAGGAGACAGTAGATGTTAGTGCATGTTATGCAAGACCTTCCTGCTGTGGAAATAGAGCTCAAAGAGAGGAAACTTGATAATTGCTCACAGGAGTAAACGATACAGGCTTGCACTGGCTATCATGCAAGCGTGCTTGAGTGCCTTTACTGAATCTTAACTTCATTGTAAAGGTAGAAGAAATAGGATCAACTTGACTGAAGAGAGAACTTTGTGATGTATTTTTCTCCCTCTATGATCTGAGGAGTCTCAACATCTGAATAAAACGTGCATGTGTGGTTGTATTCAGTTCATATGCTTCCTACATGTTGACTGCTTGCCCTTTTAATGAGGGAATCGCTTGCTTTTCCAGCCAAACGTGCCGTGTACAGATAACGTAGCCTTCGACATGGAAAGGCTCACGAGGGGCCAGCCAGCAGCCAGGCGCTCGGCTCTTGGTGACTTTGCCAACGACAGCTCCCTCAGCCTGGAGCCCCTGCGCACCTCGGGGATGTCGCCGCTCCCCCAGGACGGGGAGCTGACTCCAAGGTCAGGAGAGATCAACATTGCTGTGACAAGTAAGTTTTCACTGGCTTCCCTTACAGTTCTCTGGGTTTTTTGGTATGTGGCACTTGCTTTGGTTTTGTGCCACAGGGCAGTGGTAAAAGATGTTCTTGCAGAGATGAAGGTGACCTCAGTGTCTCTGTAGGAAGCGTATGCTCCACTTTGAAACTGATAACTCTAGGTACAACAGTGCCAGCAGTTCCATTATTAATGGTATATCCATTTAGATTTCTGTACAAAGAACACTGGGTGAAATTAAAAAAAAAAAAAAGTACAAAACAAACCTCCTGAATTTGGTAACCAGCATGAGAAGCTGAATCGTCACAAACAATACTCTTCTAGAATATTTTATGTGCAATAACTTATGCATGCATAAATATTTTAGCTGGTTAATATTTCTGCAAGTATTTTCCCCCTGAGATTGTTACTACTGGAATTGTGGTGTCCCTCAGCAGACAATTTTTCTCTTTCAAAATTTGTGAATGTAAAAAGTATCTGATGTACCAACAGTTCTGAGTTTTTCCAGGTGTTTTATGAGATCAGAAATTTGTTCCTGCGCTGTTTTCAAGCTCTTATCCAAAAAAGCAGCATGGGAAATCTCCACAGCATAGATTTTTACCTGAGATTTTTAATGTATAAGAAGTCCTATAGCGAATACAGTATGTATGGAATTTCATTGTATTTCTAAATGTTGTAGGCACTCAATTTGATGCATGAATGGTTGGGTTTTTTTCTGGCTGAAATACAGAAATAGAATTCATGCAGCATAGCAGTTTAATTTTCTCCTTGTATTTTTGTTGTGTATCCATAATCTAAATTTGAAATCTATCACTGTCACCTAATATATATATTATATATACACACAGTGTTAACGATATAGTCCATTACACAGTGTTTATTTATGCACAGGAAGAAAACAAACATATCATTCAAACAAGCAGGAAACACTTTTCCTATGGACATGGACATTTTGTTAGTGTCCTGGTTTGAGGTGGAAAAATCCAAGCACAGAATCTAGATCCTTTGCAAAACCAGGGAGTCGCTGTCATCACTGATGGTTCCAGTGCCATTAAGGAGAGAGCAAATCTGCTGGTTCTTGGATGCATATGATGTAAACCAAAGGCCATATTTTGCAAAAGTGTATTTGTATTCCAACATATTACTACATGTCAAATTGATCCTAAAGGTGTAACACTTTAAACAGTGAACATTCTTTAATACCATTAGTTTTGTTTCTTCTTTATTTTTAAGTGTCTGTATATATGCACTAACGCTGAAATGATTTTTTCCATGTCGTATTTCTGTCTATAAAGCAGAAAACTTTAATTATGCTTTGCTCTTGACCAAGTGGTCCTATTTTTTGTTGCAGAATAGCACTGTCGCATTTGTTCAGGGAGTTAGGGGGCAAAGACGCAAACAAATCTGAAATGAAAATACGTTGGATGTGAAAAGACACATCCCAGCAAACCCAAAGCAACCGTGACAGTCGTCTTTCTGACTTGGGGCCAGGCTGAATTCTCGTGATATTTTCCCTCATTTCTGCATTTCACTTTCCAATGTTTAGCAGCCTGTCTTTATCGCTAACCGTTGGGCTCAGCCAGGAAATGCTGTTTTGCCACGTGTTTTTTCTGCACCCCTTTCCACTTCTTCTTTGCTAGCCTCCTCCAGGCAGTAACCCTGTGGCTAACCTCCTTCTGCTTCACTTCCTGGTGCCAGCCATGGCTTAGAAACCTCCCGTCTTCCGCCCGTGGTGTTTGAGGGGAAAGTTGGCATCGCTTTGACATGAGCCTTCTCCCACGAGTGATTTCCTCCCTTTCCTTTGTCAACAGAAGAATGGTTTATTATTGCCAGTTTTGGCCTCCTCAGTGCCCTCACACTCTGCTACATGATCATCAAAGCCACAGCTAGCTTGAATGCTAACGAGTAAGTAAATATTCAGATGTTTCTATATATTTCCGGGGTGTGTGTCATAGTGTTAGGAAGAAATACTGAGCAAACAGAGGGAAAAAATGCAGTTTTTCTGCTTTTCTCAAGTGTTAATATTTCACTAATAACAGTAGGCTCTAGGGTAACACTGGAATGCCTCTTAATTTCAATGTAGTTGGGTTGTATACGGTAATCTCCCCACAAAAGGGAAGAGTGAAAGGGGGAAGAATGACAATATTCATACCCATTTTTGATCAGTGATCTCAGTGGAAGTTAGGTTTATGCATTAATCCTCATGAAGTTCACTTGGTGGAGTCAGAAGTCACTACTCCTGCCTTTGACAGTTTCCACCTCAGTTTCTCAGTCAAGTTTTTCTTAAACTAAAAAAGGCATTTAAATAGAAAACGAGCATTTTACTGTCAGAGATGGAGAGAGACAAACAGCAGCTGTGCTGCTGCTGCTCCTAAGTGGGTAGAGCAGACCAGTCTCCTGACCTTTCATTTGGATGTGCTGTAAGAATTGCAGTCAGAAGAATACTTAAAGACATTTCCGTGTTCTTAATTTTGATGGACTGTTTCCCTTCCCTGCCTCCTCACAGACAGGCTGGGCAAGAAATGACTCCAGCACATGCCTCTCAGTCCTCTCTTTATAGTTACGTGATCTGTTTTGCAGATGGATTAACTAGGTACATCCAGTTGCTTTCAGATTAGATGTACAGAATATCTGGGATAATGATATATATTCAGTCCTGACTTATTTGGAGAGGGGAAGTGTCAACGTTTTTCTTTCTCTGAGTATCTTGACACAGCTGAGGTAGCATTAACTGTGCTGGTCTCTTACCAGAAATGAGGTGAGATTCAAAGGCAGTCTCTGCTGAGACTTTCTAGGCATTTCCACATCCTTAGGAAGAAGGTGAAGGAACTGGAGTCCGTGCAGTATCATCCAGTTTGGGTCTGCAGAGCACTTGTATTTCTACACTTTCCATGGCAACTCTTCCTGTTGTCTTGGTGTTGCTCAATTGGCTCTGGCTCTATTTTTATGGAAAGGGCAAATTTCTTCTCATTGGCAGAGATTTAGGGCCTCCAGGGAAGGATTTTCAGAAAGACATTCCCTTAGGAACATACTGACAGGACACACTGATTTATTGTGAGCTACTCTGACCAGTGACAGCACTGAAAATTTGAGCGTATACAAATGTGCACTCGGAGGCAGGCTGAAGTAGATGAGCAGTGGCAGCAACCTGAGCTGTCCAAAATTGCTGCTTTAGGTACCTGAGGTGCCCAGCTCTCTCTTTTACCTGCCCTGGCTTTTCAACTGAATCCATTGGAAGCAAAGCAGCCTCCACCACTGTTGCTCACTTAGACTACTTGTTTTAGATAGCTTAAAATGTATGTTAAGCCACCAGTTCTCGGATTTATTGTTTCATTGACACCCTATGTTTCCAAATGCAAGATGAGGAATTTTCTGTGCAGATTATCATGCAGAACCCAAGGCAGCACTCCCTCTCTGTGACTTTCATTAAATATCACTAAAACCTGCTTCATATGCTGTCCTCCTCCATATAAAAGCAATGCTGATTTATGCTACATTTCATACCATAGTGTTTCAAGAGGAAGCTGAGGTTTTCTTTTCTTGTTTTCCCATATCAGAAGACAAAAGCAGTACGAATGAGGCTGCGTAGTGTACAGGTGCAAGGGAAAGGTGCCAAATAACCTGCAATAAAACTCTCCTCAGAACATGCCCTGATGCTTTTTTTTCCTTGTTTGCTCTTCCCGCAGCTTAAACACATTTGTTTAGAGTAATAGTTCTGCAGTTGTGCTTACGCGTGTACAAAAATACCTACTTTTAAACAAAGCCTGATAAAAATTAAGCATAGTCTAACAGATTAGAAAACAAGGTGCTCATACTCATAATATCCAGGGCTCGGCGGTCAGAACTGTTTTACCTGGAGTACTGTGTTCAGTTCTGGGCACCCCAGTATAGGAGGGACGTGGAGCTTCTGGAGAGGGTCCAGAGAAGGGCAACCAGGATGATTAAGGGAATGGAACATCTCTCATATGAAGAGAGGCTGAGTGAGCTGGGCCTGTTTTCTCTGGAGAAGAGACGGCTCAGAGGGGATATGATTAATATGTATAAGTTCAGGAAGGGAGAATGCAGGGAGGAAGGGGACAGGCTGTTCTCACTGGTGGCCAGCGATAGGACGAGGGGTAATGGCCACAAGCTGAAACGCAAGAAGTTCCGTCTCCAGGTGAGGAGCAACTTCTTTACTGTTAGGGTGACAGAGCAGTGGAACAGGCTGCCCAGGGAGGTTGTGGAGTCTCCTACTCTGGAGGTCTTCAAAACCCGCCTGGATGCCACCCTGTGCCACATGCTGTAGGTGTGCCTGCTTGAGCAGGAAGGTTGGACTAGATGATCTGTAGAGGTCCCTTCCAACCTTAAATATTCTGTGAATTCTGTGAACTGTTCTGACATCACAGCTCCTCTACCACTGAATAATTTAGGTCTGGATTTAAATATACTTTTTAAAAAGCCCAAGGGGGTTTTTAGGGAATGACCACGTCCAAAAAAACCCAGACGTTGGAGATATCACTGCTTAGATATTTTTTTCAGTAGCAGCTGGATTTTCCTCAAAAAAAGCCCTCCAACTTCTGGCAATCTCGTCTGTTTTACTCATTCTTTAAGAATGTAGGGAGTGTAGAATGTAGGATGCAAGGAGTCCAGGCCTCTTTCACTGCCCTAGCCCTGTATAGTCCTTTTTCACTAATTTACTTTGTACAGGATTTTTATTTGAGTATTAGCAGTTTTAACTTTGTAAACATTTTGTCCCTTTTCTTCTGCCCCACAGAGCAGAATGGTATTGAAGAAACGCTTTCTGACCGATTGCCGTGGAGGGAGACACCTATTTTTATGCATCATTTATCGATCATGCAGCACAAGCATTATTTAGTACGTTCTATTTTTCATAAATTTTGCTGATGCCAAAGCTTTGTACTAAAGAAAAAGTGAAGAAATAAAAACTTCGATTATGAAATGTTGTTCTATGAGAGTTTCGTTTTTTTCTGTATTAGTCTTTAAGCCTGACAGTGGT